AGAGCAGACACCACTATCTCAAGGACGTCGCCCTTTTAAAGGCAACGGCTGACAATCTCCGCATAGCAGAGACGCAGACGAATTTGTAATGGTAAAGGAGGCGATCTGAAAGTCAACCGTCCTTTCCAGCGAGCAATCGATGCTGCTCAGGGCCCTTTCAGCCTTGACGCAAGAATGGGCCTCGCTCGACCACTCTCGACAAGCACATAAGACAAAAAGCATGGCGGTGTACCTTTCCATGTTCTAGCGGATGATTCATTCTCATTTTGCACATTTTTTCGAGAGTAGCGGAGCGAGGCCCTATGTCGTGACATGTACTGCGTACGACTTGCTAGTGGAACAGTGACTGGACTGACACTGCCCAGAATGAGTATGGAGCCCATCCTATATGACCTGTCCATTGTCGAGGGTAAAAAAAACAAAACAAACAAACAAACAAATAAACAGGAAAAGAAAAGGAAGAGTTCCCAGCACAGCTACTGTCCCAACTTTCATAGCGTACCTGTCAAAGTGCATGCGCCGGTGCAGATCATCCACTTGGCTGACTGCACATCCAGGAGCACCCTGACATCTGCATACGTCAATGCCCGGCAGAACTGCTGCACAGAACATATCGCACTACAGTCTTCACCCGAATAGAACACCCGGTCATTATAGCCACATTTGGTGCAATTTTCAGTCTACATACAGCGACAATGACCTGGCGTTCTATACGGGTGAAGACGGTAGCTTTATCTTGACTGAATTGTGGACACAGTTGCGGTCAGATACATAGCTTTTCATCTCAATGCATGTATGACATCAAAAGCAGTCACCACAAAAACACAGTTGCGGTCAGATACATAGCTTTTCATCTCAATGCGTGTACGGCATCAAAATAATTCACCATAAAAACCTTTCAGCATTACTTCCTTTCTGGCAAGAATTCCGATACCTACTCCCAGACAAAAAGAAAAAAACAAGCGGAAGGGGGTTTCAACGTTCAACTTCGACTCAGAAGAACTCAAACCAAGGCACGATGCTTCGAGTTCCCAAGCATTGGATTCAGGATTGGACAGACAGAGCCTACTGTCTTCCACCGAACACAGCCCACCCTCATCAAGACCGTATCGGACTACACATTCATAAGAAGTGTCCGTTCATCTCCGTTGTGATCGAGGGAAGACGGTAAAGATCAATATATCTATGGGTAGGCAGCATCAGAGTTCTGCACTTCCTCGATTAGAAATTTTATTGAAATTCATTTTTTATTAACAGTTATTCAAACAAATATGTTGCAACCACTCGTTCATGCTGAGTTCTAACTTTAAAAGGTACCCCTTTCAGTTGGCATGACAGTCGCATCGAACCAACTTTAAAAAGTACCCCTTTCAGTTGGCATGACAGTCACATCGAACCAACTTTAAAAAGTACCCCTTTCAGTTGGCATGACAATCGCATCGAACCACAGCGCAGTTAGAGCAGAGAAGCCCACCTGGAGCGCTACCTTATAGCATATGTTGGCAAACGTGTCTCCTTCCTGCCTAAGACGACATTCCAGGAGCAAGGTTGCCCCATCGCCCTAGCTCAGTTGGTAAGGCACGCAAGTGGCAATCAGGAGGTCTTGGATTCAATCACCCCCATTGGACTCATGTACCTTCCTGGGCAAGCTTGGCGCCCGCCACCTAGAGATACGCCGTTGGTTCCCCCGAGTGGCATTGAGCAGGGACTGCTGATGTTCATAGTGGGAGGGGACGGGAGGTGAGGCACAGCGACTGGCCCATCGAAGAACCTCGGTCCTGATGCGCTACCGGCTGACCCCTGGCCAGTATCGCCCACCTGCTGTAGCAGGTATCGCACCTGCTGGTGGGTGCAGATCCCGCATGTTCCCTAGTTGGAGGCTTGAGCAAGGATGTGGCTGCTACGGGGTTCCCCATAATACTACAATGACGATAAAAAAGGCCTGCAAGGCCATCCTGTCCAGATTCGACAGGTAATTGAATTGGTTGGGCTTAAGTTCTTAAACCACTAGTACCTTTGCCATCCCGTTTCGACAAGTTTTAGCCTAGTCCCAAACTTTTAGGACGCCGGGCCCGACAACGGCTGCCGTTGATAAATCTGATCGGCGGCCGTCGTTTCGTTTCGGCCTCCTGAAAGGTCGGAGGAGGCCCACTATTATCCGAACCGACGAAGGTACTAAACTGTAAGGACTTAGCCTTAAACCACCACTACCTCCGACCCTAATTTTGCCAAACCTGAATTTCACTGCGCACCGAGTTTTGCCGAGCCTGGGTCCCATCGTTATTTCTTTTCTGGTACTCATGGCAGTGAAATCTGAAAAAGAACCAAGAAACTAAAATAAAGAAGAACAAAAGAAAAAGAAACTTCCCTAAGGCCGTGATAGCCATCGGATACATTCTCTGAGATGCTGTTGGGACTGTGTCCTCAGTGAGGACGTGCACCTCATGGAAAACAAATGAAAAAAAAAAAAAAAAAGACACCTAATACTGTCATTAACGTCCGATACAGGACGCTACCGTACTGGTGCCCCTCATGGAATCCGCCCTGCCCCACAGGCAGGGCACGGACAGGACAAAAAAAAAAAAAAAAAAAAAA